TATACAATTTAGGCAGAAGGGTTTTTTGTTTTTTTTTTTCTCTCTGGAGGCCTTCAGGGTAGGTTTGGCTGGCTTGAGTTGTGGGGATCGAACCACAGCAACCTGAGCCTGACTGCTTTGTTGAAGCAACCGCTTAAAAAACTGAGCTGAGGGGCAGGCCCCCATCGTATACAATTTAGAATGTCTCACATAATCAAAAGGTTCATCAAAAGCTCATAGCTCAGTGAGGACTACCCTAATGAAGGTCTAAGGAGCTTGTGTAAAGCCCGGGCTTCCTCCCCAGCGCTTCCTAAAAACAAAGGGAAACTCACTCATTAATGGCCATTAATCATACCACTTTCAGGACTTTGAGGACCTAATAAAGCTGACACAATGCTTTAATTTTATAAGTCAATTTTTAATTCGTTTGGATTCTAGCTAAGTGAAATGTAGGTGTGAGTATAAGTCATGTTTGTATAACTTGCACGTTGAGCTTAACATACAAAATTATAAAAATTTAAAACACTCCAGTGCTACAAATACCCTTGGAAACTAACAAGTAAAAACACCCCAGGAAAAATACACTGAAGCAATAAAAATATTAATAAAAATAATGGGCCTCTTTCTTTGGAGAAGATATAAGGCATGGGAAGGATGATTTTTCTCTTAATTTGGTTCACAGGGCAGTATCAAGTCGAGCCTATGAAAAACCTCTGCATTATACCACCCAAGAAGTTTAGCATTTTCATTGTTTTTCTTAGGAAAGAAGATATAAGCCTTCCTTGTTAGAATAAATTCTCTGAACTGTTGCAAAACTCTAGCTCTAACCTTAACTCTAACCCTAATTCTAAGCCTAACTCTATAACTTCTCCCTCAAATTCAAGTGAGAACAGTAGTCACTGAGTTTCCTCTTTCTTCTCAGGAGAGCTAGACAGGAGAGTGAACAGGAGGTGCAAAGCGAAGGCGACACAGCAGCTGGCAAAGTGAGAGAACGTGCTGCTGCCCCTGCGCTGAGCCACGGAACACGCTTATGCAAGTCTGGAAGTTGTCTTCTAAAGCACCAAATCAGGGAACACTCCCCTCCCTTGGTGGCCTTCAAATCAGGGAACACTCCCCTCCCTTGGTGGCCTTCAAATCCAGGGGTCCACAAGAGCCCCCAACTTCAGGGAAGGGCAGATTAAAAAGGAAAGTAAGGCAGAAGCCAGTAGCTGAGGAAGGGAAATTCTGATGGGCTTTAGGGCCTTTTTTTTTTTTCAGAACCAGGGACTGATCTCAGGCCCTTGCGCTTGCCAGGGAAGAGCTCATTCTACTGAGCCATCTCCCTGGCCCTTTATGGTCTTTTTGCCCTCACCCTAGAACTTTGGTGTGTGGCTAGGAAGAATCAAGAGGTCAGAGGACATAAAGTGGAACGGAACAGCGTCCTTTGGGGGTTGGGGATCTAGACAGAACTTCAGCCCAAACTCAGGGAACACGTGAAGCAGCTGCAGCACCAACCAATGCACAAAAACTGGTTGCGTGGCAACAAGTAGACTACAGAGAAGAGAACTGTGCACACTACGGAAGCCGAAACCGCACACTACGGAGGCCGCGCGCACTCTGCGTCCCGCGGGACCGTGTGCCTGAGGTGATGCCCACTGTCGGCCACACTGGTGAGGGTTACGAGGTTGGACTTCAACATGCAGGCCTACTTTCAGGTCCAAAATGTGTGAATAATAATGGGCAGCTGCACTAGTAGGAATTATAGAGCCTATTTTATCCCACTTAAAGCATTTTGGACATCTAGGATTGTTCCGGATAAAATGAATGCTAAGAGGGTTAGGAAAATGTTCTACGCCTGGAGTGCTCACGCTTGCACCAGGGCAAAGCCGGGTCTGGAGATATTCTTTCTTCTACGCCTAGTCTGTCAGATCGGTGGTCACTTAAATCGTAATACATGTGATCAATGACAAAAACAGCAAATAAAGCAAGGACATAATCTAATACCAATTTTGCTTTCTGATGCTATATTAAAATACAAAAAAATAAATATAATCCCAAACTTTTTCAAATGAAGGTAAAGTAGAAAGGGAAGCATTAATCCATTGGTCTCATAAGTGCTGCAAATAAATTTAATTTTGTTCACTGTGGATTTAAAATCCTTTTAAAACCTGTAACTGCAAGTGCGCTGCTTTAGTAATAAAAAGCCATCAGAAGCACTGTCCCCCCAAGCTAGCAGGACTTGTGCTCTGCTGTAAACAATATGTAATCTCATCAAAACTGGCCTTTCATTGAAGTTTCCCAGGCTCTGTTGAAAACATAACTTAAAAATCATCCCCATCCTTTTTCCTGCTTACATTCCCTTCATCTTTGTTGCTCGCCTTACGTGTTTCTCCATTTTGCTGTTCTCACCATCTGTAGGAGCTGCTTCTGCCCTCTGAGGCGGCCGCAGCCCCGCGGATGGGGCCGGGGGCAGGGCTGCCCTGCACTTGGTGCTGTGCCAGAACAGGCATGGGGGACAGGCATGGGGGACAGGCATGGGGGACAGGCATGGGGGCTGCGGCCGGCAGCAAAGCCTTGCTCCCCTGCAGACCACAAGACCGAGGCCGAGGGATGCGGGCAGAAGGGTGCTGAGCATGCTAGGTACCACCGAGACAGTGTCAGCGGGAGAGGCCGCAGGTGGGCGTGAGGGGTCTGGACAGTGTCTGGGATCTGCTCCTCAGCAGGAGACGAGGTCACCTGTTAGCAGGTATGCAGAGAGGACTTGGACAGCCTGCTGGGTGTGGTGGAGGCATGGGGTGGGGCAACAGGTCAGGAGCACAATAAGCAAGACACGCAAGACCAAGTGAAAGAAATGTATAGCCAGATGCGGTGGGACTGGCCATGGCAGACATCCTTTGTGCAGCGTGCAGTGCTCTCGAACTGGAGGGGAGCAGGTCTGTGTCCTCTCATCTCATTTTCTCTCCTGTATGAGCCCCTGAACTTTGCTTCCCTCTCTCCAAAATCAGCCTCCAGGCCAAGGCTGTCATGGCCAATGCCACACACCTTCTTCGTTTCTGTCTTTCTGTGGATTGTGCACTGTCACTTCCAGAGGCTAAGCAGTCAGAAGCGAGGATGAGCGTTCCGTGCTTGGTATGAACGACCCTTACGGAAGCTGCCACTTTGGTGGGTCACGGGGTGAAGCAGCAGAGGACTGGTTGAAGGCTGGCAGGAAAAAGTGACCAGGTTCAGGTGCTAAACATCTGCACCCTTGTCCATGCGCTGCCACCTGGCTGGGTGTCCCAGGATGTCCCGGGCCCAGATGGCAGCAGCTGCTGGCATCAGTCTATGGGGCGCTGTAGCCCCAGGAAAGAAAACCCTCGGGCCCAATTAGGGCTCAGACAGAAGGCCTCCTGTAACCTTCCATATTTTGGATTACTTTTTCCTGGACAGTCACAAAGCAAAGTTGTCAAGGATACAAACAAAATTCAAAACAAGCATGAGGGGAGAAGGGGATTTGGAAGGAGTGGACTAAGTGAAGGGAAGGATCTACGCGGCGAGCGTCTTGATCAGAACTGACAGATGCAGCAGTTGTTCTAAAAACTAGAAGTACAAGCACAATGTCAAAGCAGCAGTTTTCTCAGGGAGGTGCAGAGCCTCATTCCGGGCGTCCTCTCTAAGGTCCTTTCCCACGCTCAAGGTTAGGGCCTCTCGTCTAGGTGCGAAGTTGAGTCATGTAAATGCCACTGAAGCTGCCTTATTCCTGAACGTCCCCCATTAAGAACTTCAGAGAAACTGTGTCAACTCACTAGAGGTAAGATTAGTATGTACGTATTAACACAGAAATACCACCGTACTCTCCTGATGTTAACTTTACTAACCCTATCGTGACAAATAGCAGATAAAATCAAATTTCAGTATAAACTATGCGGCTATATGATATTAATAGCTTGCATAACAACGATATTATCAGCAATTTCTGCTAAACACTTGGACGTAGTATTCGACAATTATCTGAAGCCACTGTGAGACTGCCTTCTCTCTCCAGCAGTCTGAGGTCCAACGAGGTGGATTCCACCCCTAGCTAGGCGTACTTGGGATTCCAGCCTTGGCCAACTGACCTCAAAGCCAGTACTGGTCTCTGTGCCATTATTCCGAGCCGTGATGGGTGCCCATGTGTCACAGTAAGGCCCCTACAGAATGGGTCTTCTAAAAAATAAAGATGTTGTTTTTGAGAGGATGGGGGTTTTCTTAGAACAGACACATTTTTCCCTTCTTGGTGTCACAGTGCTCAAAGTGAAACTACAGAATGTTCAGAAAGTCGAACTTAAAAAACACGTGGGAGCCTATGAAGTGTTCCACCAAGGGAAGCCTCAGGGAGAACTTGCACCCGAGAGCCGCAGAGCGAGCTGTGGGAAGCAAGGAGGGACACGGCCGCCTCATTTTCCTGCAAGCAGACCTCATCACGGAGGCTTTCAAAGGTCAGGCTGAGGAGTGAGGTAATGCTGTTTGGGAGTGAAATAAACAGCGCTTTGGTTTTGCTCTAAGATTTTCTCTCTCTCATTTTCCCTCACTTTCAATTTTGAATCCCTGGCTCCTCAACCAAAATCGGTGTCCCCCTTCTCCTCCCACCCAGTTACGTGCACCACACTGTGCCCGCACAGCTCCAAAAGCCCTTGCCTCCGGCAGACACTGTTTGCCTACAGAGCTAGAGGGTTTGTAAGTGTGGAAAATGACACTGAATTTAACTTGGCAGAGCTGAGGGGACAGATGAGGGAAGAGGGAGGGGAGAGAAGGGAAGGAAGGCTCTCTTGTTAAAATAATCTTGATTTCTAACCAACACCGTGGCACAGGTTAAGCATTTTCATAGATAGTTTTAACAGTTTTACAAGGTTTTTTCCCCTGCCTTTCCAAACGTGCTTTCAACAGGCATGCTGTTTTCCAGTGGACTGAAAGAAGCCCTGTACTCAGGAGGGACAAGGATGGGCTCTGGCGTGTGACTGCAGACACATAAAAGCTGCTTTATTTCAATATATGTTTGCCCTGGCAGGACTCTGGAGACCTACCTGCACATAGTCCACACTCCGTCCCAGGGCTCTGAAGGCCGTGTACATGACTTCTCGCTTTCCACCCCACTTCTGCATGATGCACACGCTTTTGTTGGACAAGACCAACTGCGTCACATGCTGGGAGCTCTCTTTATGCGACTCCTCCGTCTCACCAGGACCCTTCACGTGGTAGTTGTTCTTCCAGACGTAAGTGGCTGACTTGTCCCTGCCCATGACTTCGCTGAAGATGTCCATCATGTAGAGGTCGTCGTCAGAGTTCCCGTCGATGACCATGACGACCTTGATCCCCGGGTAGGTGAGCCTCTTCACAGACTGCAGGCACTTGCGCAGGTAGTCTGGGTCTTCCTGGTAGGCCGCGATGCAGAGGGCGACGGTTTTGTTCAACTTAATGGGGGTTTCTAGAGACTTCTTCATTTTCCGGTGCTCCAAAAAGGCAAAAAGGCTTTGGATGATGAGGTGTGACGCCAGGAAGGCACCATACAGTCCAAAGGAGAAATAGTAATTGTCCGTCTGGATGAACTGGTAGCCGACGATGTACGCAGCTGTGATGCCAAGAAGGAGAGAGACGCCAAAAAGTGTGGTTCCGATTATTCTCAGGATGCATATAAACCTCTCACAATGCATCTGGAACATAATCAAAGGATACCTGGGTTAGCCACCCGCGGCCTGCTGCGTGCACGCGACGCCCCCGGCGGTCACGGCACAGGGAGGGGTCAGGGCTACACCGCGCTTCTCAGTCGATCTGCCGTGTGCTTTTCTACCTTACTCTGCTCAGCTGCAAGACTGGGGTACAGACACCGTCCAGGCATGGCTCAGAGGACTGGACGAGCATGCGGCGAGGCGCCCGCGCGGCGGCAACAGCACAGCGTGCTGCAGCAAATGCCGGGTGCTGTCGCTAGCACGAGCTGCATCGTTTGCCTACGTACATGACCACAGGCAAGTGCGGAAACGATATTTCTTAAGGCCTGAAACAGTCTTTCTTCCTGCACCATTCTTGCCCTCTGCTCCTGAAGATGCTAAGTGAAAAACAAACCCACACATCTGGCTGCGTTTCTCCTGCAGAGTCTCCGCCCATCCTGACAGCCCCGCCAGGTGACCAGCCGAGACTGGAGAGCAGGCTAGCTGGCTCCACGAGCAGCTCATGCCAAGCTATACGATCTCCATCAGTCACCTTACTTCTCTGGGACTTCCTAAGAAACCTACTAAGTGAAGGAGTGTCCATGTGCTTCTATCTAAGTGCCCTTTTGACACTGAAAATTCTGCATCCCTAGGTATTCCACACAATTATCTTGCAAAGCCCCTCTGATTCTAAACTGCACACTTCTGTTCAAATGTCAGGGGCCTTCCTCCACCATGACCACTTGATGGTCAGACTCTGAGACTCAGAAACCTTCCAGGAGGGTCGGCCAAATAGCTCAGCGGATTAAAGCACTTGCAAGCAGGCACAGGGGCCAGGGGTTCAATCCCCGGGCCTGCCATGCCAGCCCCACTCCCGGGGTGCGCTGAAATGGTGATTGAGACTGGACATAACAGCACACACCTGTAATCTCAGCACTTGGGAAGCTGCAGACAGGCGGATCACTACGAGTCTGATGCAGTAGTGAGACCCTGAACACCCTGCAGACCCTTCCCTAAATACAAAATTAAAAAAAAAAAAAAGGGGAAGAAAACTTCCAGGAACATAATAAGCACATAATCATTGTTTTCAAAACTAATAAATACATTAATGCTTCATTTCAAACAAGGGAGCTTCCAGCTTATCAAAAGGTAATGAATATTAGACCTGAAACCGTGTTAGGTTTCAGTCATAGCCGGTCCTGAGTTCACGTCTATATTTTATATATATCCTAAGTAGGGCACGAGCCAGCCCACAGGCAGGAGAGCCCTACTTCTGTGCTTCCCAAAGCATTTCCAGCACTGAGCACTAAAAGGACACCTCATACAAATCTCTTAGCTTTACCGATCCCTCATAAGGTTTTGTGTCCTCTACTGAGAACAAACTACCATGCGCAAGATTACTGTTATTCATATGTGTTCTATTTTCTGTCCTTCATCTCAACTTTGGGCATTTGTCACTTACGTTAGTACTTAATCATTTTTCTTTAATCCATCTAGCTTTTGAAAGCTGAATATAGTTGCTTTAAACGAAGATTTTTAGCGACACCCTTGTCACCAGAAAGCCTCTTGACACACTATCTATAGCTCCCTCATCCCTATCAGAGTCAAAAGTGAACGCGCACGTGGACCTAGGGCCGTCCTGGCTGCTCGGGCGTTAGGCCTGGGAGGGCAGCGACTCTGTGTTCACGTTCCGTTGCATCGGGTCGCACACTGAGGTCCTGCCTGGCTCCGCATCACGCACCCGGCGGACATCGGCGTGGCTGCTGACGAGCTGTGTCAGCCCTCACAGACGGTGGGGCACACCACCAGCGCACTCCAGCCTCTGGATATCTGGGCGGGCCACTTTCAGGTGTGTCCTTTCAAAGAGTGGGTGCATCTCCGCCCATCTCTCTCACCCTTCCACTGACTTTATACACCTATTCAAAAGACGCTAGTGTACCTGGAGACCTGAAGCAGAGTTGGTCCTTGAACTGCCATTTGGAAAGGAGCTTCCCATCAATCAAGATACCTGCCTGGATTCTCCTGTTAGCAAGAAATACTTTCATTTTTGGTACTGGGACTCGAACTCACGACCTCATGCTTGGCACGCAAGCACTGTGCCACTGAGCTGTGTCCCTGGCCCCAAGAAATAATTTCTTGATTTTTCTTTGCTTCTGTTTACGTGCTGTGCGCTTGCTGAGCTTTAACTAACACAACTTAGGCAACAACGCTGCCTGGAAGGCCAACCAAATAGCTCAGCGAATTAAAGCACCTGCAAGCAGGCGCAGGGGCCGGGGTTCGATCCCCAGGCCTGCCATGCCAGCCCCGCCCCCGGGGTGCGCTGAGACAGCAATTGAGACTGTGCGTGGTGGCACGTGCCTATAATCCCAGCTCTTGGGAGGCTGTAAACAGGCGGATCACTAGGAGTCCCATGTAGTAGTGAGACCCTGAACACCCTGGAGACCCTTCGCTAAAATACAAAAAACAAAACAAAACAAGCAGTCTGGAGCCAGGATTCAAGCTCAGGAACATCAATCGCCTCCATAAAATGCGGGTGAGAGCACCTGTCAGGCACTCTCCACAGAGCTGTGCTGAGGAGCAAAGTGAAATAAGTGAGAAGGAATCTTTTTAAGCAAAAGCAAGCATTGAATTTTCTCGCTAGTGTAAGAGCCAGAAAGAGCAAATAAAATCTGAAAGGTACAGATGATACTGTGTGAAGTGAAGGGATCTGTTCAACAGGAAGGGATTACTGAGGCGAGGACAAGGACGAGGGGGGAGGGACGGGTGGAAGCCACCTACGCATGTATGCAGGATACCTTGAATACATGGACTGTGGATTTTTAAAAACAAAAACAAAACAAAAAAACACAATGTAGTATAAATTGTCAGTTAACTAAGAATGTAAAAGATACACAAAACAGAACTCGAGTTTGTGGTCCAGGCTCAGCAGCTCTGTAGACCACCTCAGCCTTTAAGACGGGCGTTTTGTCACAGTAACCCCACACAGGTGGAAGCTGAGCCTACAGCAAGGCAGCCAAGGGCTGGGATTTTTGGGGGAAGGGGAGAGAGCGCAGGTCCCTTGGTAATTGACAGAGCCATGAGGTGATGATCATCCCCAGAGGGCACAGGAGCCAATGCCAGGGTGCTGGAGGGGAGCGAGCCCCAGGCTCGGAACTCCTCATTCCTAAGACACGAGTCATTCGCACAAGAGTGAAACATTTCCCGGGCACCAAGGCCCTCGCCAGGAGGCCTCGGCAGCTGTGCACCCCTGTGTTCAGAGCCACCACGGGCAGCGCAGAAGCAGCGCCTGCCACACTTTTCCATTATTCACATCTTCCTCCCTTTTATCAGCACATGTGGCCAGCGAGCGGTCACACAGCATCTGTTGGCCCAGCCGATGCGGGAACACCCTCTTACATCATTGGAGTCTACAAAATATCCTTTTGAAGCCTGGGAAAATCTACCAGCAGATGCAGCGATGACGTGGCTAGAGCTGAAGCTTTGCATTTCTGCTCAGTGTCTCAGAGTTGGCTCTCCTGCCACCCTCAGCATGTTGGGCAGCCACGGGACCAAAGGCACGCTTTAGGGCCAACAGCGCTGCGGGAAGATGCTGAGCTCTGAGAGCGACACACGGGTGTGCTCCCTAAAGATGCCCTCGCATAGTTTCATTGATACAGGCCCCATAGGTGTGCGGCTTCCCGACAGTCCGAGACAGTCCCCGCTGCAGGGCTCCTTTTCCCAGCCTTCTCTCCTGGTCAAGCAGGAACACGACCACATGGTGATGTGCTGCACTGAAAAGCAGGGTTCGATCCTAGATCACCACAGTAACAGGAAATTGGTACTAAATGTTGTGAAGAAGTTCTCTTCTCCACAGAATTCTAGGCTGAAACTGACTATTAGGGAGCACTAGCTCCACAGAGCCAACAGATATCTGTATATAATAAATGTGCGTGCGTGCGTGTGCGTGCGTGTGTGTGTGTGTGTTTACACTTTCACCGACCTTATCAGCATCACTGTGCTGGCAGCTGACAGTCATCATTTATTAGATCTTCGGCAGTGGAACATGTTCTAATTTAACATCGTGACACTATTTCATCTTAATGGCTTGCGCTGGCGAGCACAGCCTTCATCTGCTGTCTCCACATAACATACGCACATGCCAAACAAGCCGAGATGCTGCGTGTCTGCGTCTTCTGCCCAGAGCCTCAGAGCAGGAAGCGGGCCCACGTGGCGCCCTACAGTGAGTGCCACGCTAGAATACACACTTAGGCAGCAGATGTGAATCTTCGTGACCCAACGGGCAGCGTTTTCTGTGCCTGGTTACAAGGCTGTGCTGGGCCAGGACAGACACGCGCCCGCTCTGACCGCGGCCTTGCCCTGCTGTGCGGAGTGGGACCACGTGCTTGCTTCGGCTGGGCAACGCGGGGTTTCCGGGCCAGACACTTTCCCATGCGGGTGCAGCCTAAGGATCAGGGAACAGGGCTGATTCAATAGAAACTGCTGGTTTCTTCTGCCCAACATCAATTCTGCCCTTGTGCCAGCACCAAAATCCTGCTTCCCGTGAGAAAGGCACTAGTGTTCCCCCTGCCTCCCCCTGCGCAGCGGCTCCAAAGCCCTGCTGTTGGCTGGGACAGCCCAAGTGAGACTCTGGGTCAGTGGGCCCTGGAGCCCTTTCCTGCCCCTTGACCTCTTTCCACTACCCAGAGAGCCACAAGTCAGACGCTGCAGAATGTCGGCTGCTCCGGCTGCCCAGCCAGTGCTAAGAACTGAGTCCCACGCTCAACATAGCACATTTCCTGGGCCCACTGCAATGAATTGGCCTCTGTTGAGTCAGCATCTGAGACAGCTACAGAGACTGAGCCCGACTCACGCTCTCCGGAGAGGCCACAGTGTACGGTTTCTTTCTAAAGCAAAGTCCTGCGCCCCGCCTCTCCCAGCGCTAGCACATGGTCTTGCCCTGCAGCACACCCTGCTTTTCTGAGTTTTATCTCAGGCCATAAGCACTCAAATGTCAAATGACTCTTCTG